AATCCCATACATGTGACGGTGTGAGGCGACAAAAGGTACCCCAACAATCCCATCCATGTAACAGTCGAGGCGACGAAAGGTACCCCAACACTCCCATACATGCAACGGTGGGAGGCGACAAAAGGTACCCCACAATCCCAGGCATGTAACGGTACGAGGCGACGAAAGGTACCCAACAATACCATGCATGTAACGGTACGAGGCGACGAAATGTACCCCAACAATCCCATGCATGTTCCAGTCGAGGCGACAAAAGGCAACCTAACAATCCCATGCAGGTTACAGTCGCGGCGACAAAAGGTATCCTAACAATCCCATGCATGTAACAGTCGAGGCGACAAAAGGTAACCTAACAATCACATGCATGTTACAGTCGAGGCGACAAAAGGTATCCTAACAATCCCATGCATGTTACAGTCGCGGCGACAAAAGGTATCCTAACAATCCCATGCATGTTTCGCATGAGGCGACAAATGGTACCCCATAATCCCATTCATGTTTTGGTGAGAGGCGACATAGGGTACCCCCAAAATGCATGTATTGGTGAGAGGCGACATAGGGTACCCCCACATTCCAATGCATGTTTCGGTGAGAGACGACATAGGGTACCCCCACAATCACATGCATGTTACGGTGAGAGGCGACTAACAGACGTGTTGTTTGATCCGTGTTCCCTATTTGGAGACAAAAGTCGCATAGAGAAGCACTTTTCATCTCTACATTTGTGACTTCTGTCTTTTGTTATCTTTGACCTTCTCTTTTTTTCGGCATCCTCGATACCCAGGGATAACGCTCACTTACGCTCTCTGCATCCCTGAAATATGCCATAGCAAAATTGAAGGTTCAGTGTGCACCACCTTGTTCCTTTGATGTACATCAAAAGAATCTCGCGGTCGCGTAACGGTAAAAATTGACTGACTTTGAAGTCGGGTGTCGCCCCTTCGTAATCTTCAAAGGACATGTTTTAGCCTAGCGATTGGTCAACTTTTTTTAACCCGAGACCAATCAAACAGCTCTCTTTGTGGCTTCAATTTTGCTATGACATATCCCAGGGGTGCAGAGAGAGTACGTGAGCGTAGCCCCTGGATATGAGGATGTTCTTTCGGTGGTGACGTTGTTGCCACTCTGGTCAGTCCGTCGTCGGAATAATCTGACTGACCGAGGTGTCAAGCTATCGTGGTAGATTGTGTCATGTCAGAAAGATGACACATTGAAGTGGTATTACCCAGCACCAGGGGGTACCGTCGTAAACATCATCAACATGCCAGGGGTTACGCTCGCTTGCGACCATTGCAGGAAACATAAGATAGTGTAATCCCTGGTATTCCCAAATAAACACCAAATATATAGCCCTCCATAATTTTAAACACGGGACATGCTGCTCAGCTTTGTGTACCTCGCGGCGGAAGGGCCGCTATTATTTTCCGGCGATTCCGTTAGTTTAATTGCATATAAAAGCGTGTCGATACTATTTTGCTAGGAATTCAGGGGTCTCGACACAATTCGAAAAAGTATCGACAATACTACAGTAGTTCAGGGATTTCGATACAATTGTATAGAAGAAGTATCGACAACACTTAGAGTTTGCTACATCAGATATCTCGACACAATTGTATAGAAAAGACAATTCTAGTTTTCTATGAGATCAGAGATCACGACACATTGTATAGAAAAAGTATCGACAACACCAGTTTTCTAGGAGTTCGGGGATCCCGACACAGTACGCGGAAATTGGGCTTCGTTAGCATTGTAACGCTAGTCCATCAAACTGTCACTGGAGTCATTAACATCGACGTCTGATTAATATTCTGATGTATCATGTCGGCTACCTCTCGTAAAACACGGGTGATCACACGTCTTAGCCTCCACTAAACGTCCCTTCAGTCTTCACCACTACACGTATCACCAACGTAACTCACCTCTAACCAGCTACTAGTATAACCATATTGTTGTAATGGCTTGATTTGACATTGATTGTGCACGCTGTTGCGTTCAAGTATTTAACACGGGATTCACGGTTCGTTTGCAAGACGGATCATGATCACAGCAAAAATAAATCACCTTGTTTTTGCTCTCGACTTAATAATATGACAACAATCTATCACAGTTTTGATTCTCTGAAGTATAAGTTAACTGTGATTTAAGTAATGGAATTTTAATAACCAAAAGACAGATTTATGTTCTCAAAATTTTCATTTCAACGAGAACAGTATATTGCACCAAACAATTATTTTTGCGTGTCCATGTTTCGGCGCTCGAGGACACTTCACGTTTGTAGAGGAATAACAAATAAGGGCACAGAACCTTCCCATAAACAACGTTATCTGTATGTCGAAAGTCGCATATTTCTACAGTTAACGCTAGATAAATAAATCAGCGTATTAGTGAAATAGCGCAGAAGGAGATAAGATAAGAATACCGCTAAAATACACACGTCAACAGTATGTGTTTACATATATAATTACGAGTGCACTACTATGTAAGATTTGTCCAACGCTCTGTTTATCAGACACTATACACAGGGAAAAGTTATAAGGCACGCTGAAACAGACAACTAATGGATATTGCGATACAATCGCTCCAACCGGTTTTCGTTAATCCTATATATTTCTGCTTTGCCTCCTTAGTTTGTAATGATACCTTACATTGTCATCACAAGGTGGTCGTTCGGTTTATCTCGAGAAGGAATCAGGTCGGCATGAATATGCGGCAATACAATTGTCCACACAATTATTATTAATCACTGTATGTGTTTTATGTAAATGCATGTTTGTATATGTGTATATATAATACTTTAACCTGTATCTTAATCAAAAGAATTCCTAATTAGAGAATAATGAGTACCTCAAAGGTTAATTTGTGTCGAACGTCCCGACCTTCCTGACATGTATAAAACTGTATGACATTGACCCATATCAAGACTACGGAAGATTAATGAGGTAGGTTTCCATGTCGTATATAGCAGTCATAAAGACCGCACTGATTGGTAACTTACAAAAGGTACACAGGTCATTCACCTATAACCTACATGTACAACAGGTACACATTTAAGTGTCATATTCACAATTTTTAGAGGGACTTTGTGGTTAGGTCTGGTAATAAGGAAAGTAGACCAGTTTAAAATATTGCCGCAACTTGTTCTACATTTCAGAGCTGTCAAAAAGATCAATAAATATCTGGGACTATTCAGAAAACGGAAAACGTTTACTCTTAAAAAAAAGAATTTGACAACACTGGATAGTTGCAAAGACACATTCCCATTCACAGACAGTAGATCTTACCCTTAAACATGTTCACATGAACGATTGAAGACGATTTTGCATTGTTTCATCAATGTTATCCAAAATCTACATTAGTTCACTGACCCTAGCCAATATATCTCCATGTGACACTGACCCCCTAACCGATATATCTCAATCTGGTGGCAGAGCGCCATTTTCTTCGCGGATGAATGGTCCTCAAGAGTTTTTAGGAAATATTGATTTGCAGCCGAACTGATCAGACTGCACCACTCAAACACACAAGGGTCGAAATGATACCTTTTTTTTTAATACTAGGAAATAAGCTAGCCTACCTCTTCCTAGTCAGTGACCTACAGTAACCAACCTTTGTAGCTGTTAACCCTTTTCTGTGGTAACCTATCCTTTTCTAGGGGGAATCCTATTTTAGTTATATGTAACTTAGTTTCCTTGGTAACCACTTTTCTAGGTACTAACCCAGTTTCTTTGGTAGTTGTTTTATAGGTAGTAACCTGCCTTTTCCTCAATAACCCTTTTCTATAGAGTAACCTACTGTATCATTAGTAACTATTCTAGTAATTATAAGTAGCTGTTTCCTTGGTAACCTTTTTCTAGTTACCTACTGTTTCCTTGGTAACCTTTTTTCTTAGTAACTAACCCTTTTCCAGGTAGGAACCAACTGTTTCCTTGGTAACACTTTCCTACATAGCAGCCTACCATTTCCTTGGTAACCATTTTCTAGGTAGCAACCGACTGTTTTCTAAGTTTTTACCTACTGTCATGTTATTACAGGATAGTAACTTTTTATCATCATCCTTGCATTGTTACACTAGCTTTTAAAATTCCTGTATCACTCCTTGTATATTTTGTAATACTGCAGTGAGATAACATCTTTACAACATTACTTATACTGTAGGCCTGTTGAAATATAATCACCTTTATATGAAGTTTATATGCATATAGATGTCTAATCATTTATGAATGCATTCCTGAGCTATATGTCACACCCTTAAGATCACAGTAGGTCTCCATTATATAAAAGGCATGGTGCACAATGTCATGTTGTATGGAGGGTGACCTTACTTCCAAGTTACTTTTATCACAGTTAATACTGAAATACAGTTGTGGGTCCGCACAACTCACCAAAAATAGCGTGTGCACACCGTGCATACATCGTTCACACACCGTTCGCACATCATCCACACATTAGGTGCGCACAACTGTGCGATTTAGCAATCGTTCGCCCTGTTAGACAGAAAGATAAGTTTATAGATGTTGCTAGAATATAGAAACATACGTAAACATCAAGTTTATATGTTTAAACACGAAACCGTATAAATTGTTAAGGCATTCCTCAATTTACACCAACCACGATTGTTATCGCACAACGTCAGCCATCGTTCGCCCATGGTGCACACACCGTGCACACCGCGTAACGTTGTGCAATACCACAACTGTAGTTTTGTAACCATTTGTGGTGTAATTAAGCTGTTGTACCCAACTTCTAACATGTTTTAGAAATTTGAAGTTACAGTAGTTTTTCCACACTGTTTTTTTTAATGCTTCGAGGATACTTGTATTTTATTGGACAATTGACCTATTTTCGAGCATTTCACATTGTATAGCATTTTTAATTGATGAAATATTAAAATCATATACAATGCACTTGCAACTCCAATGAAATACTCTGGGTTCATTCATCTGAATAAATATGGCATATCTTAAGATTCTCTAAGATGAAAATACTGATTTACAGATTTGTGAATATTAAACATTTTCATATATGAAGTTTTTATTTCAACACTGTGTACATAAAAGAGAAATGTCATCTTCAGTAAAGATGACTGTGGCTTCCTTGAAAGAAAACCCAGACATAAACAGTTTTGAATACCATCTTTATCTCTGCCATCTGTGTTTACACAACCTTCAAGGTTACTCAGTTGATCCCCTGATGACCTCCATGTTGTAAACACTCCAGTGCAGCGAGCTGGGGAAGGCTGGGTATACCTTTCCTGAAGACATGATCACATCCCATCACATTTATAACCAGACATTATATATATGCAAATAGAGAGATAGAGTATTTTCAATGAGTAGTTGTAGCCGAACTCCACTGTATCCTGGGTTGTCATGGTGACCTGGTGACCTTGACATGATTGTGACTAGACTCTTCAGGGCTGTATGCAAATCAGACTCAATCATTTACCTGAAAATAAACAGATGTTATGTCAATATCAGTAGTGACAAACATTATTATACAAGTGTAGCTTGATTTGCAATGAAGTTTATATCAATTTTTGTCAGTTGTATATGCAAGTCAAGTCCGAAAGGAGAGAAATTCTCTGTTAATATAAACTTCATTGATATTCTACTAGTCAATACATAAAATACCTAACTAATTTCCACAATCCTAAACGCCGACAGTTGATCTTAATGGAAACTGCCACAAGACAAGGTAACAGTTTGTGTGGCCGACATGCTGGGATCCATCAGTATTTGATGAGCCAATATAGCTGGATCAGCTGGTCCATGATCAATATAAAAACCTACTCAGGGATCACTGGCTTATAAAATAATTTTCATTCTTATGGTTAATAAAAAATCTCTGATTTCGTTTATTTTTATATACAATGTTACAATAATATGAGATGCAAGAGACACTGACACATAGATATGTCCCTTATAATAGACGGAGAGCATAGCATTGTCACACATGGTCTGTTTCAATTATACCTTCAGAATGATAGGGTTTCACAACAGCTGCCGAGGGATATACTACTACTGGTGTGTATGGTATTATCTTCCAGGCTCAATTATATATGACAATTATTGATGTAGAATTAGCATACTTTGGCTACAAATACTGACAATGTGAAGAACAAACAGATGGAAAATGATAGATTTTTTGTCTCATCAGATGTTTCTCGTGTACAGGTTAATTCCATTGTACATTGATAGTGAGCTGGTCAGGTTACGGAGGACGAAATCAATCCTATGGTGTATTAAAGATCTGAAATATGGCACACAAGTTTTAAATTCAGGATTTATATTGTTGTTATCAATATTATTTCCCAACATTTGGATCAATGATTTTTTTTCAGGATAAACAAAAATTTTAAATGCCAGAAATATTTCCATGTTTTTTTTTTTTTTGTAAAAAAACCCAATTAGATATACATATGGAAAGGTCAACTTGTAATTCTAAATAAATTTTAAATATGTGTGAGCTTAACCAGTTTCCAACAGATTATTTATAAACCTTATCAACTATAAATAAATTGATTTTCCAGGGGAAGTGGGGAAATGAACTGCAATGTACACATACTTAAATTGTTTATTCAGGGAAGTTGATAAATGAACAATTACATACACCCACTTGTTTATGTTCATACATTGTTGAGAATTACCAAATAAACAGTGACGTATAAGTAAACATACTTGTTAGGAATGTTTGAATAAGCATTCACAAGTCAAAATTAATACCAATTCTCATCACGAATTCACACTGCACGAGTTACAATTGAATTTCTACCTATAAATCTTGCTGAATAAATCATACATGTACAAAAGTAATTATCCTTTGATGTCATTTCAAATTTTACTCACAATATTACAGTAGAAATTAGTAGGGCATTTTTTAAGTTAAAATGCTTTCTTGATACATCTTGATACATCTACCATGTTAGACATAATTAATTAAGCGCCCCATCCCTTAAAATGCCCCTGATTTACCCGATTTTCCTCGGCCTGTTGTAAGCATTTGTTGCTTCATGACCACCTGTTTCATATCCACACTTTAACTCTGTTCCCATGTGCTTAGAGCCCAGGGTATTTATTACATCAAATACAGTATAGTGAATGAACGGTTAGAATAAAGACCCTACTTGTTATCGCAAAAAATCGGGATTCACACCATATTATGATATATGTGGAGATCAGGTGAGCTTTGTCAATGTTTTTACTAGAGACAGGGTTTTTGTCAGTTTACAACCCTGGTTAGGCTTCTGTAGGTGTAAGATTTCTACACAAAGCTTGTATGTCAGTCCCTGATATAACTCTAATGCAGGCTTACTTGATGATAAGGCTGTTTTGTCAGCCATCCATATCATATGTCTTGAAAAATAAATGCACATGTATTCTGAACAATACATCTAGTTCTGTGGGTATAAATACACCGTTTTCAAAGCTCTGATTTATTTTGATTTATTTTGAAGCTTGTCATATACATTTCTTCCACTAAAATCACTAGCATATCCTCTCAGAAATCCTTTACACAAGAGATGAAGAGGACACATGTAAATTCATCAATAACATACATTTTAACTCATTCACCCCTGAAATTTCATAATGGACTACTCCAGCCTTTGAATTGGAAGAGTTGAAATGTGACTTCAGGGGTGAATGTAATCTTACCATGCTGATAATTTACTTTCAGTACACATGATACAGAACTTTGTATCATATACATGTTTGAATGAATCACAGTGGCATTCTATCTTCCTGTTACATACATGGACATTTCCTTTACAGGGTTTGCTTCCCGATGAAAGCATATTACTCTTTTCCCCATTTCAATAAATATTAAAAATGATAATTCGAGGTTCTTATATACCGCTTTATCACAACCTAGTTGTAGAGTCACAAAGCACTGTCCAACCCCGTACTCATTTACAGCTGAGTAGACTGGAACAAGTGGATTAAAGTATCTTGCTCAAAGATACAACACAGTGCCGTGACTCGAACCCACAACCTATTGGTCACTAGCCTGGCGTCCTCTACCACTAGACTACGTGTCTCCAAATTAAATGATGATGGCCCTCCCTGTTGTGAAAGGGAGTTAGAACCCAGGTTGTTGTGTTGTGAAGTGTTCAATGGGAGAGAGAATACATTTACAAAAGGGGGGTGGGGGCGGTAGTGTGGCAGATTTTAATTGTACATGGGGATATTGGTTACATCCAGGCTTTGCACTAGAGAGATTTTCCCTTTAGCTCAATGCAGCTGTGGCCTAGAAAACTTGGGGGGCCGGGTCGCTGTTTCGATTCCAGTGGAAACACACTTCTCTCTTTCCTATTGCAGTTTTATTTGGCTGAAATTGCTCATCTGCTCTCCACTGAACAAAGTGACAAATTGAAACTAGAATTAGTTGCAAAATATTTCAGAGCGATTTACTCGATGTTGGTAATGTGAAATTATTGCTCAATCCATCAGACAACGTTTTTCTGCAATTGATGTTTATCTAATGTTTTATGGAGGCAAATTAAAAATCAATCCAGGACAATCCTGAGTGACGATTTGCAGGAATTATAACACACATATAAAGAACAATAATGTAGGTATTTATACGTAACAGCACACATCTATTGTGCAGACATACACATCTGTGCACTCCTGGAATCAGTCACCTGTACAACCAAGTTGTTATCTTTGACATCAGATCCCCACAAATATATTGTATTACTTATTTATATATGTAGATAAATACATTTTATTTTTACTTAATAGTTTTAAATAATATCAAATAATAATTTGCAAAATTTGTATAACACATTAATTTTTATAAAGATTTTTTTTTCAATCAGCAGAAAACAATAAGCGCATGTATATTCATGCTTTTGTCAAACAGCAGTCATGTTTTTAATCCCAGAGTGATTTATTTTATTTCTTCAGTATTTTTAATTTATCGAGAGAAAAATTATACATTTAAATGTACTTTAATATATAATTCATCTGCTTAAATTTGGAACACGACAAACAAAAATTAATATTAAAAGCCTGAGAAAAAAATATCAATAAATCAATCAAATAGGTTTTTATATGTTTTGCTGTACATAAATTTTGCACCAGGAATTTGACCTGCACGAACACACACACACACACACACAAACAACTTCTATTTTAACAAGAGGCCCATGGGCCTTAACGGTCACCTGATATATTTATACAGAGAGTTGATTTTGTTTTTAACATGAACAGAAATATTATTCAAAGTGACAAAAAACAATAAAACCACCTTACTCAATATCTAGCATACAGATTTCAGACTAAAAAGGATTTGAAACTAGCACCTCTGATTCTTAACAAGGAAAATGAAGAAATTTTAGCACACTGACTCCTTTGAGCCCCACCCTACAG